CCCCAAAACCCCAAAACCCCAAAACCCCAGTACTACTAAAACTTAAAATAAAATTCTATAATAATTATGGAAGAATCTTTCTCAGCTCACAGTTATCCTCAGAGCAGTCAGAATAAAGACTCCAACGGACAGAGTGAAAGTGTAAAGAGTAAGATTAGTTGAGGTTTTGGGGGGTTATGTGTAGAGGAGAAGGGATGTTCAAGAAATGGGTTATAGAGGGTGGGAGAAAGTAGAAATAGGGTATGGGGGTTGAAGAGGTTAGTAAGAAGGAGTGGGTTAGAGGGGATAATAGAATGGAGGAAAATGAAGATGTGTCTGGAGAGAAGATTTATATAAAAGTGCAAAAGATAGACGGTTATTATAAAACTCAATGAAATCATTTTTAGTAATAAAAATTTATTACAATGGATAGATTTACCCACTTCTTGTATATTATTTTAAAAGGAGTTATTTCATAATTGTAACTTTATTCCTTTATCTTATCAAAATATTCCTAAAAATTTATTTCTTATATTTTTTGTCAGCTCAATAATCTTTAAATAAACTTCGACAGTAAACTCTATTAAACTCCAACACTCATTGAGCTTCTTAAAATCTCTGATATCCTGGGCATAATTTTTGATGAACTGAAGTTCAAATTTTTGTCCAAAAAGCCTTTTTTAGAGCTTAAGACTGTGACTTAATGCATTTTAAAGTATTCTTAGCAAAGTAGGGAATCTACTTTATTTCATAAAACCTTAAAATTTCACAAAGATTTGGCGAAATTATATGTATCTTATATCATAATAAAATAGAAACTAAATTCCTAAAATTCTGACCATTTCTAATCCAAATTTAGAATTTTACTCATTTGCTTAAAATTGTTCAGAACATTACGAATATGGACAATGATAACATATCTTGAGTTTATTTAGTTCAAGCATTCAGTTTGTTATTTGCTCGGCTTTATGAGGCATTTATAATCTGTAATATGATATGCCTTTTATCTAAACTAATTTTTAACTATCTATGAATAATCTTTTATAGTCAAGAAATTCACAAGTCACATTTCTCACCCATCAGTAAATTTGCCATCCTTCGAAAACTCTAACAACAGGTAAGTTCCTAGTTTTCATCTTATTTTATCCTTTACTAATCACACTATTGTGTTTGTTCTCATTATGCTAAAGAATATTTTATTTTTGGAGCCCACTTTAAATTTGTTTGAATTTTTCGAACTAGAGCATTAAAATAAGACTTCTTTCATATAGTTTGGAATTGGGGGGATTGTCATTGCCTCAATCTTTGAACAATGCTCTATCCTTAAGACATTAATATTTTACTCCCAGGATTATTTTTAATTAATTTTTCGATGATAGTTTGACAAGTTATGGGAAAATTGGAATACCATTGCTTCTTAATAAAAATTATTCGTGTTAAATTCAAAACTATTACTTTTGTGAAAGAGAGAAGTTTATAGCAAAACGCTGTGAAACATAAAAATAATAATTTTGAAAAGTTTCTTTTTTATATAGGACAATACATATTTATATTTTTAAAATTGTTTTGACTTTATCTCCGTTGTTTCCTAAAATTTAGAATATTTTGATAATTTCTATAGCGAGGCTAAATAAAAGTAATAAGACTCATCAACAACAAAAAGAAAATAATGAGATAACAATTCCTAATAAAGATCCAGCTTACAAATACATACAAGATCTAGAATCTGCAAGACGTGATATATTAAGCAATATGCACTCTAAAGAATCAAGTTCAAATCAAGAAAACATTCAAATTATTTATTACGTAGGCTCTACACATCTTTTTGGCTTTGCTAACTAAATTTTAGTCAAGGAAATTCTGATGCTCCACCCTTTGATTACTTACAGATATTTGAAAGGATTTAGAGTGCTGAGACCAATACTTTATAGTCTCCTCTCGCTACACAATTCTTTCCATTATCTTCTATCCTTCCTTCCATTAGTTTATAAAGAGTAATTGATCATTACAAAGCTTTAGAATTTTAAAATGGTTTAATTGGTAAATTGAAAATTGGTCTAACTTAAACTTTAGCCGAATCCAAGAGAAGAAACTAAAAGATCCCCTTCTGATTATCTCAGCAGTATTAACTTCAAAAGTTCCTCCGATCTGAATAATAGCCGTATAAACGAGGAGACTTTGAGAAATAATGGAAAGAAGTTAGTTCCATCTGGGTAAGTAATTAGTTATCATAATCTAATCGCCAGAATTATGATATATCCTGAATAGTGTTGCTTACTCACTGCTCAAGTTAAGCAAATTTTACAATAGTAGAATCTTGAATATTAAGCTTGTTGATGAGCTATTTCAAATTGGTTTTAAGAGCATTGTTAGGATATTACCAATGCTACATTGTATAAATTTTACAAAAATAAGATTACAAATCAGCATATTGGATATATCATTGGAACTCATAATTAAAAATATTTGTCAGTATTAAAAATCAAAGTGACAAACTAGAGATAAAGCAATCTATTTGAAGATTTTACCAATTTAGTATATAGCATCTTATTGAAGACTAATCTTTACTATTAAAATTTATCCTCATGAAAATTCTTGTTACTTTTCATTCAATTTGCTCGTAATTTATTTAAAGATCCTAACTTATCTAAATAATGAATTTTTATATTAAAAAGTATTTTGCACTTCTATTCCTTTTGCCTTGGTCAATCAATAATTTACTACCCCTAAATTTCTTTCTAACTATAAACAAAAGACAGCTATTATCTAAATTAAAATTAAGTTTCATTCTAAATAAGTAAGCTCTGCCTAAAATTGCATCCAAAATCTAATAGCATCAGGTAGTAAACAGCATTCTTCTCTAATGTGGCAAACTACTAAATATTTTATCTCATAAAAACCATGGTTGTTTCGAATAAATAAAGAATCAATCGGGGTGCATACACCGAAAGTATCTTAATATATACAGTTATAAGTACTTATGGTGCTGAAAATCTATATATTAGTTCTCTGATAGCTTATTGACCAAATAAGTATAAAACAGAAGAACTCATTTGGTTAAAATTTCTTCCAAATCTGGCAGTGAAATCAAGGAATTTTAGCATATTATATTGGACAATTCTCAATAATTTTTGTGTTCTGATGGAATTAATTGAGTCTTTAAACTAAATAAATACGATTCAGTTTTCAAAAATTAAGGATTTTAACAATTTATAAGGGGGAAATTAAGCGAAAACAGCAGAATTAAGCATTTATCAGAATCTTCAATCAGGCTAGTGGGTTCTGAGATCGAAGAGAAAAAGCATATTAAGTAGGCTGGATTATTTAATGTATAAGCCAACATGAAGTCTCTAAGGAATCAGTTATATTTGAAGATGAAAGCCAAGAAAATTCTGAAAGTGAAGCAAATTTCCAGATCTCAGAAGATCAACACCTTAATTGTATTTCTAAATAATATTAAATTAAAATAGCTAGTAATCAAGTAAGAACCATTCAAGCCAATGACTCAAGTTTAAAATATCATAAAAGCAGAGGAGAGGCAAAGCATAGAATTAGAAGTTCTTCCAAATATAACAAAAAAATAACTTAATCAATTTTATCTAGAATAATGGATAATCAAGTTGAATACCGAACTTCTGAAAGTTTTTAATCCTTTAAATATTTCCTTAACAGTTATTTATCTATCCATCCTTTCCCTGAATAAATAGATAACTGACAAGGGTGGGATTTCAAGATCTAGAAGTTCACAGAAGCTCAGTATTCCGCTTAATTATCTATTTTTACCATTCATTATATTTTCAGAATTAACCTTTGTCTCTAAAAAAGGAATATAAAAGTGAAGAGTTTGTGAAAAATGGAGAAATAGAGCAAGAATATTCTAGATTTCAAGAAAAATCTCAAAGAAATAATATTGAATCAAAGAATCAAATTTTAACTGATAAAGTAAGCTCAGCAAAAGACTCCCTATAATATTAAAAAGTTTCATAGAATCAGTACCTACTATAAAAATGAAAATTTAAAATCTTTCCCTTTAATCTCGCCTAAATCTTGCTCCAAAAATAACGGCTAACCATACAGAAACCTCTTCCAAAATCGAAGTGCGAACTTGAAGATAACGGAAGCCTCAAAGTAAATAATGTCAGCCAGGTGGCAAACTCTTTATCAGCTGGAATGAGTACTTTGGTCAATGAATTCTTGCCAAAATTTCAAAAAGAAGTAGGTTTTAGAATAGCTGAGTTAGACAGAACTTTAAATATGAACTTAAGTTAATTTTAAACAACGAAAAAGTTTAAATGCTGGCACGAATTAGAACAAACAATAATGTATGTAGCTGATCGGCGGTGTCATTGTGCAGTATTATTTGTTAAAGAGTTTTTGAGGTATAATTTTGATATATTAAATTGGAATTTTGTGTGTCTTTATTGTCAGACATCTAGGCATTGCTACAAATAATTTGATAAACATTTGACTTCTAAAAACCAAACACTTAATTTAAAAGTCACCACACTTTCCTCCTTCCATTCCACCTAAGTCAGTAACAAAAACAGCTCAAAATTTCAAGAATTTTATTAAAAATATTTCCATTTGTATAATGAAATTACTCGAAATTATCTAACTCCATTAATATCAGTCTTTTAATTTCTAAAAATATCAGAAAAACACTTATATCTTCAAAACTGCTATATAAATCCTATCAAAGCTGTATAATTTTTATAATCAATATAAATTCTCTATATGAAACAGTCAGAATTTCAGATTTCTAAATAAATAAATATTTGATTTCTCTCGTTAAATTACTTCACACATTACTATAGCTATCACAGATGCAACTAAAAGAAGAAAAGGATCAACAGAAAATGAAAGAAATGCAAAAAGAGTTAGAAATTATGAAGAAATCTAAAGAAGACTTTGAATTTAAGTATCTTGAGAGTACCCGAACTATTGAGAAATTAACGAAAGATGGGCAAACGCAAAAAATAAAGATGGAAGAGTGAATCTGTAGACTAGAAGAAAAATAATAAAGCTTTATGCCAAAAAGAAACAGAATTTAATCGTCTAATTAAAGAGAAAGAAAATGATGCTTGATCAGATCGAGATAAAAATGCAAAACTCATGAGCCAGGTAGGAAGTTGGGAAGGAATACGAGAGCGCCCTTTTAAAGGAGATGTAAAAGTTTATCATGCATTTGGTTATTAGAAAATAAATTAGATACAATTCTCTGGAATACTTTTAGCATCTCATTTAACTTAAGGAATATCCTATTTCTTTAACTTTTCAAAATTTATTTTGAATAACTAATGACAACAGGCATAAAATTTATTAATTAGAGGTGCAAATATGTGACAACTTTAATTTATATGATCAAGTGTTAAAAAGTGTTGAATAAAATATAGAAAAGAGATTTAGATCAAGATTTGCAAAAAATACGACTTGAAAATCAAGACTATAAAAACAAGATCTCAGAATATCAAGAGAAAAACAAAATAATTTCCAAAGAAAATGAGAATTTAAAATCAAAGATTTCTCAAGATAATATTGATTATCATGATGCTCTAAGAAAATTATGTGATTATGGTAAGAGATCATTATGTTAAAACAATAAAAAGGCAAATATCAAGCTTTTGCTACGATCCAATAGTTACTATTTTAGAGTCAATAATGAACCATTAAATCCATTAATCATTGCACAGCATCCATTGTGGCACTTTTTGTCTCTTTGTTTACATTTGTTTATCAAACGTTGATAGATTTATCTTAAATTTTGTTTTCACAGAAAATTTATTTCAGAAAATTAAGAAATTAAAAACAACTTGATGAGAAAGTATAATACTAAAACATCTGAGATAGAGTCAAACAGCAGTGGTACAGAAAGAAGAGATTATAGTCAATTTTTCAATAAGATCGAAGATATGAAATCCAAGATTAAGGATTTAGAAGATTCAAAAAATAAGCTAGTCAAATTATACGAGAGAAGTATTATAAATAATAGCGAATTGAAGAATAACAATAATGAGTTATCGAAGAAAATACAAGAGAGTTCCACAAAGGTAAATATCAAAATAATTGATCAATTTTATGTTTAAAAGCACTCATTAGCGCAAAACTTGAAAATAGAATAGATGCTTTTAAGAGTAGTAGAAAGCAAGAAGATTAATAAGAGATAGAAAAATTATAATAGTTAGTGCCCTCAAAAATCCAAAAACTTTAATCCAATATATCTTCCAAGAGGAGAATTGAATTTTACTTAAATTCTCTTAAAATGGATAAACCATGCTAATCTTATAAATTACCCTGTCAAAACGAATCCTTCTTGCTCTACCCCATAAAATCAATCTTACAAAGAGATGCATAATTAAGAAAAAACTGATGCATAGAACAATAAAAAATAAAAGGAATGCTATTTGAAATCTAATAAAATACTATAGATAAATAGCCTTTATCTTAAACTAAATAAACAGTTATTTTTAATATATAAAAGCTCATGAATAAACTCCTATTCATTAAATACCCCAATTATATAGTTAAAACTTCTAAAAAGAAGGTATCAGTCCTTAAATCATATTAAATTTCAAATAAATTTTTCTAAAGATTTCTGAAATCCCCTTGAAATTGTGAGGTTAATTTAGTTCAAGAAAATCTCTGTGAAAGAGTTTAAAAGAATTTCAAACCTCATATCTATATCTAACAAATTAGGATTTGAATATATCTGCAACAGGGCCTCAATGTTACCGAAGTTGTTTTAAAACAAGATTGGTTATTGGATAATTTTGAGAATTAAAATATTAATATTTTGCTTAAAAACAAAGCTGGAAAAGTCGGGTATTGAAGAATATGTGTATAGAATATAAATGTGCATAATATCTGATGATAATTTAGAGAGAAGAAGAAACAGAGAGAATAATATGTGAATTAGAAGGTAATATTAACAATCTTAAAGGAGATAAATACAATTTAGAGAAATCAATAAGCTGAACAATAGAAGAGACAACTAGATTAAGAGATAAAACTTCCGATTTAGAAAAGAAAATTAAAAATTTGGAGATTGACAAACAGCTCCTAAAGCAAGAATTGGAAAATGCTGAGGTTAAGAGCAAAGATATTCAAGAATCTCTAAATCTTAAAATATCAGAGTTGTATGAAAAAATTAACGAAACTGACAAAATAGACATAATCTTAAGAAAAACAACAAGACAATTGGAACAATCAGAGAATAACTATAATATTTTAAAGACTAAATACACTGAAGATACGAAAAATATGGAAATGGAAATAACAAATATGACTGAAAAGCAACAAAATATGACAAAATCAATGGAGGAAAATAAGAAGACTTGATCTGAAAAAGTTAATTCGCTAAAATTATCTCTCGAAGAGACCAAGAAATCCTTAATAAAACTAAATGAAGAAAACACTACATTAAAAACCGATGCTAAAGAGCTTCAACAAAAAGACGAAAAACTAACCAAACTCATTTTAAACTTAAAAATCGAATTAGAGCTAAAAGACGCTAGACTAAACCGAATGGAGAAAGACCTATCAGACCTAAACAAAATCAACATCAATCTGAAGGCTAAAGTTTATAAATATAGATACCCCCAAGGTAGCGCCTGAAATCCCTTTCTTGGGTTCTATACCAATGTTCTGCCACATTTTTGGTGCCAATTTTAGTTATTCCAGATTTTTGGGGTTTTAGATAGTGGAAAATGAGGGAGAAAATTTGATGTGGTTCTTTGGAGTAGTTTTATTATCTTAAGTTATATTTCCCAGGGTTTCTTTTTAGTGACAAGATAGAGTAAATTTATTAGGTTAGTGCTCTAATCTTTGATTTGTTAATATTTGATAAGGAATGTTATCTTTTATGTATTAGTATTTATGTTTAGTGGGGTTTTTGTAATTTTTTATGACTTTATACGGATATAAATAAAAGAGAGATCAATATGATCTGCAGAGTTGGAAGATTATTAGATTTTATATCTTGAAAGCGAATCTACTAATACCTTAGAAGTTTCAATCTGAATAAGTTTCAGTTCTGTTATTATATTCTGAGCATTAGGCTCTCATTTTGTTATTATGATTTCTTTCTAGTCTAAATAAAAGATATTGAAGGTTTGACAATTTTTAAATTCCTTTCTATTAATTTATTTTTTCTAATTTTTATATAAGTTTAATATTTCCATGATGAATTTAATTTATAATTCTTATATTCAAATTCATATGACTCTTCAGAACTCTATGAGAAAGCATTCTAAAAATTTACAAATTAGAATAATTTTTAAGAACTATTATCTTTATTCAAATCCTCCTAACTTTTAGCACCTTGTTCCTCAAGATTAGTCCTAAGTAGTTTTCCTCCCAAAATGTTATAAAATAAATAGATGTATCCAGGTTAATTATTTACAGAAGCCATTTATTATGAAATCTAAAAATCTACTCCTAATTCACTTAAACCTTTCCGTCACACATCTAAATATACTATATCTTCGAAACTAAGCTAATCTAAACGCCAAATACCTCCTCCTAACACAAAAAATGATAAAAATCCCTCTTCCCATTCAAAATCTCATCTCTTATCAAAACTCTCCCCCATCCCTTCATAACCCAACCCTCTCTAGGCCACTCTTCCAAAACCTCCTGCACCACCCTAGCTACACTCCAAAAAATCTCCAGTACAGACTCACCCAAAAAATTCCCGTTCAAGAGAGAAGACTTAAGCTGCATGAGTAATCCTGAACTAGGCAAGCTAGGTTTGTCAGAAGATACTGACCAAGTAAGGGCTTGTGTTTTAATTTAGCAGTTGATGAATTCGAATGCGACTGTGAGGCCGGATGGAGAGGGCATTTTGGTAGGTGTCAAGGGGGCTGAGGGTGATTGGGGTTTTGGAGGGATTGTGGGTTTGGAGGTTGGTTAAGAAGGGGGGTTTGGTATGGGTTTTGGGGGGTTGAAAGGGGGGCTGGATAAGGGATTTGGAGAGGTTAATTGTGGAAAGAAGAGAATGTAATTATGATGCTCTAATTGATAAGTTTTTGGAATTTTGTAGGCGTTTGTTTGGGAGAAAGGTAAAGAGGGATAATAGCAGATTTGTAATTAGGTTTAATATAGTTATAAATTTCAGCATTTTAGTCCATGTTCAGAAAGTATTACCTTAGGAAATTGATTAGTTTTTATTTGATTAGATCTTCTTATTTGAGAATTGTTATATCAGCATAAGGTTTTTATAATAATGCAAATGCTGAAACACCCTCTAAAAACGAAAGTAGATTTGTTGTTTAATTTAGTAAAATCTTACACTCTTTCATGCTTTTAATAAGTTTCATTTATTTTTAATTTTAAAATATGCTTGTTCATACGATAATTTCTATAAATTCGTTATGTAAAACCTTTGCTCTAAACAAATATTTTAGGAGAAGCAATTTTATACAACAAGGAGATCAACTGACTCTAGTTCGATGTAAATGAACCTGACATACCAAAGGACTTAAATTCATTTACTCCATTAAACATTCAGAATACTTTACTCTATACCTACTCAACGACTCCAAAACCCCTTAGAGGATCTAATTCAAAACAACAATCAATAAACCCTTGATCCCATATCCTTCTTCCCTTAAAACTCCCACTACCCCTCTCCTCACAATCCTTCACTCACAAGCCCTGCCCACCCTCTCCAGAGCACAGCTAGAAGGACTGGCTAGCCCTGAAGAGGAAGAAGTTGGGCCTGTAGCTGGATAAGAGGGGTTTTAGAAGTAGAGGAGGGGGTTAGGTGAGACTTTGGGTGGGGTTGGGGGTTGGGAGAGGGGAATTTGAGGAATTTTTAAAGGGAGATTAGGGGTTATTGGGGGGAAGTAGTAGTTGGTAATTTTGGGGATTGTGATGAGTGATTTTGGAGAAGTTAAGTTTGATTTTAGTGATGGAGAGCTCGAAAAATAAATCTAGCTTATAATTAAATGGTAAAGACTTTACTCGTAGTTTGATTTTTATTAGAATAAAATTATTTAATCTTATTTTATCAATATTTAAGCTATTTGAGGGGTTTTGGGGTTTTGGGGTTTTGGGG